TTTGTGTGCTGTGTATGCTTGTATATATGTGCCTGGGCATGCATGTGCACACGTGTTGTGTACATGTGCGTGTGTGTGCATATCTCTTGTTCTATTGTAATGACGGGAGCCTGCACACACTTTTGGGGCCTGCCTACCTCTCTGGCATACTCAGTCCTTGACCCGTGACCTTCAAGTTCCAGACCGCTCAGCCAGCAAGCCTGAGAGGTGATGCTGAGGGAAGCTCCATGTGGCAGGAAGAAGTCTTTGAGGAAGAGGCTGGAGCCCTGGGGCCCATCTGTGCTGACGTCCTCCAGCACAGCGCTGACCTGCCTGCAGTGACGACTCCTTTTTCAAGTGGTTCTGCAAACAAGCAAATGAAACCAAAATGCTTACTGTAAGGAAACACCACTGGCCTTTGTTGTATGTCTGTGGCTCACATTCCACTGCAGGACACTCCTGGGGACCCATAGGGAGGGGCCCCGCGGCTCCACATCACATCACACAAAATGACTGCTGCGGCTGCCCCCTGTCTCCTGGACCAATGAAGGTGACCTTTAAGACTGGTGTTTGGAGTCTCCTTTCCGCCAAGATCTTGGCACCCAAGCAAGGCCTCTGCTGCCACCTGGTGGCGATTCTGAGACAAGCCATGGCCAGTGAAAGAAAATCTGGTGAAGACTGAGAACACTCCTAGGGCATTCAGTCCACACCTTCAGTTAGTGGATAGTGATGGGAATCTGACATTCAGAGGGGCTGATAAACCTGTCTGCAGTCACACAGCAAGTCACCAGCAGAACAGGACAGCACCTGCCTTCCTCAGAGCCAGCTTTCAGGTTCCATGGGACGGTCATAATCTTCCATCTAGGGATTGTCTTGCCCTTGAGGTCAAGCAGACAAGGGTGGACTCTGGTGCAAGCCCTCACCAGCAGGAAGACTACAGGCAAATGATTCAATTTCTAAGCCTGGATTTTTCACCTAACCACAGAGCCCAGGGTCACAGGCTGCTATGTGGGTTGCATAAGGACAACCAACCAGTTCGCAGTGTGGGTGGTACCTTGCCTACCTGGCATATTCATGCTTTTCCTGGTGCTGCTGCCTCTGACCACCGTCACCATGGTGATAGTGATGACAACCGTCATGACGACAATGATGATGGTGACAATGACCATACTGCTGCTCCAGGTGAAACAGGATTCCAGGAGGGAGCAGATCATTCTTGCTCTAGAGCCACACAGCCATATCCACATGTCCTATGTGTGAACTGCTAGAAGCCAAGACCCTGAGACTGGAAAGGTGGTTTCCAGTAAGACTTCTCCCCCCAGATCCCCCACTCAGGAGGCACCTCCCCCACTTGCCTGATCTTGGGGATCACCTGGAAGGGCTGTAGAACCCACAGGTCCCTGTGAGAGACTCCACCTCTCCAGCCTCTGATTCGCAGAGTCTGGGGTAGACCCAGGAATGCATTTGCAAAGTACTATAGGTGGTTCTCATGGGCTGGCAGATTTGGGGACATTGGCTATTTCCATCATTCCTTGATGGCTATGGGTCCCAGAGTAGACAGTGTGGGATCTGGCTGCCTGGGACTGTCTAACATTAATCCATTCTGGGATGTGAGGGGTAGGTCAGGAAAGCAGATGCAGTCAGGCTGCAGAGGCCCTGAAAGCTGGGCCACCCAACAGGCTACAGAGGGAGAGGCTCTGAGAACAGGCCTCATTCCTCCGAGGGTGAACGGGGTGGCCGGTAGGAAGCCTGGCAGTGGCCTAGGGGCGAAGCTGGCAACTCTCCAGGTGATGAGCTCAGGGCTGTTCCCAGGTGAGCTGGGGAAGGAGGAGAGGGGAGCAGGCAGCCCCTTGGCTCATGAATTCTTCCAGCAGCCTGTGGACTAATGTGGGCAGAAGTCCTGTGGTCAGGAAATCTATGAGGACCAGTTAGTCCCCAGGAGGCTAAATGGGCAGCTATGGCTGGAGCTGTGCCCTCTGCATTACAGCTTGGTCAACACAGCTTCTTGCCAGGACAGCATCCAACAGACCCCTGTGGCTCTGAAGGGATCAGGGTTCCCTGCCCCACTACAGAAGCTCTGGATCCTGGTCCCATTGAAATGACCTGAGGGTGGGGCCCAGAGGTTTCTGAGCCTTGCTATCTGCTCTCCTTGGGGACCTTCATGCACCCCTGCTGAGCCTCTCAGTCTCATATGGACAAAAGGGTGGCAATGCTGACCCCCCCCCCTTCAAGGCTGCCATAGGATGACTGTCAGCTCAGTGTCTGCAGGGAGAACGGTGACCTTTGCCCTACAGTGGCTGTGGTGACAGGAAAGTCACCTGGGGACCCATGCAGGGAGGACTGTTCAGACCAGAGTCCTGAGTGAGGAGACCAGTGAGAGTAGCCAGGGCCACAGAGGCTGGATATTTGAGCCTAGAAGGGGATCTCTAGGCCCCTGTAAAGGTCTTGGGTGGATCTGCTCTGTCCCAGAATCTCTGGGTGTCTCAGCAGGTGCAAAGCAGCACTGGGCCATGGCCTTTAGCTCCTGAGTTTAAGAAACACGCAGGCACAGGATGCAAGCATGACATCAGAGGCAGGGGAGGAAGAAAGGAGGCAACCACACCACCATGTCTGGGACTCCCTGGTCCTGCCTGAGACAACCAATGGATAAGCAGCAAGAGTCAGGAAGCCAGCCATCCGACAAGAAGGTCTTTGAGTTCTCAGTCTTAGACCAGCCCCAGGCCTTACCCTCTTTGCCTGGCCTGAAGGCCCAACCAATGTGTAGAGTCCAAGGTCAAAGTGTCACAGGGCTAGTCCCTCCAGGGCCTCTGTCCTTGGCTTGCGGGTAGTGTCTTCTCCCTATGTCCTCACGTGCCTATTTCTGTGTGTGTCTGTGTCTTGACTTCTCCTTACAAGGTTGGATTAAGGCCCTCATTTTGCCTTAATCACCTTGTTGGCTCTGGAGACCTAAAGGGCAGATGAGTGAGTAGCCCATCCCCAGGGAGAGCACTGCATTCCTGTGTCCTGAGAAGGAGCTGTAAATCTGCACCCTGAAGAGGAGATACAGGGTCTGATAGATCTGCTGCAGGGCTGATGAGCAAAACGCTCTCAAGATTGTTTCCCCTCCCCCAATAAAGGTGCAAACAGACCAGTTCATCTAAGAAAGCCCGCGAATCCATGGCCAATGAAAAGAGCCCACCTCACCCTTACCCAAACCCAGAGTTAAAACGTCCACGAAAGCCCCAGCCTTCACCTGAGTAATGAGCGACTGGTTTCTGGGCTCCACCGCACTGCTCTAGCTTCGCCTTTCCTTTCTCTCTAATAAACCCTACTTCAAATGCCAGCTTTGGCTCACAAGTCAATCAGCTGCCTCACGAGCCAGTTCTCTGGCCTGGGAAGGCAAGGACCCTCGACACCCCGCCCACCACACTTCAAATCTGCCTGTAAGAGGCCCTGTAAGGGCCTCCACATAGATCCTATTCTGAGGGACTTGGAGTTGGGGCAGCCCGTGACAAAGTTCAAGCAAGGACTACAGGGATGCTCAAGGGAGGGCTCAGTCGTCTGGCCACAGCAAGCCCAGCAGGCCCCCACCCTCAGACATGGGAGGAGCCAGTCTCCTGCAGGGTCACACCAGTGTACACTGAAGGCTGACCCAGCAGAGTAAGGACCCCAAACAAAGATTTTCCAGCCCCAGCCCCAAAGCTTGTGGCCATTTCTGCCACAGGGTCCCCATTTTTACAGAGGTGAATTAGACTGCAGAGTACCTTGAGGCAGGGATCGTGTGGAGAGGGATGGGTAGGTGGGAGTCTAGGATTTTTTCCCAGGGAGGAAATTGTTCTGTACAAGACGCCAGAACGTGAAAAACACATGCAAGTTTCACATGGAGGGGTGGTATGCATTTGTGGGTGTGCGGTGTGCCTGTGTGGGGTGTAGGGCGTGTGGTATGAGTGTGTGTGTGTGCGTGTGTGTGTGTGTTGCTTTGGAATGCATGTGTGGCGTGTGTGGTGTCTGTCACTGAGTTATGATAGCGCCACACTCTCTCACTGCCTCTTGGGCAGTGGTTGCACTCCAATTCCCCACGTGTCCATTTTCTCACAGGAAGAGGATGTTGGTGCCACCCTTTGGCCTTCCTTCTGGACCCCCACCACAGTCCTCAGAGCCCTGCTGGGCCTTCTGGGCACAGTCCCATGCACGGCCTGGCAAGGCCAGGTGATCATGGTGCTGCTCCTTTGGGTGCTGACCCTGTCGCCTCCCCCCTCAGTGGGTCTGTGGTAGCCACCCTGGCTCTGTGATGGAAGGCTGCGGCTCTACAGGTGAATCCCACCCCATCAAAGGGGTCTGAACAGGGAGGCCAGCACGCCAGGTGGAGGTGCTACTCAGACACTCAGCCTTGATTACCAAAGCCCTGAGGCCCAGTGTCCACTCCAGGAAGGGGGAGGCAAAGTGAGTCTGGTACCGCCAGCACAGGACCAGGACACAGGCTGCAGAACCAACTGTGGGCCATCTAGGCTTGGGGACAAATGGGACACCAGAGACCCTTAACTGAGCCAACAGGAGCAGGAGAGGACTGGGTGCTCCCGCACCCACCTAGGCCCCCTGGAGACCTCCTGGAAGGAGACAACATGACACCAGACTGCAAGTTGCTTCTGTCACCTGCTCTTTATTGGCTGCCAGGGGCTGCATTCTCATGGGTGACCAGAGTCCCCAGGAGTGGCACTACATGGAGGGAGGATGTGGGAGGGAAGACGGTCTGAGAGAAGCAGGCTGCAGGAGCCCAGCCACGTGCCACACCATCAGAAGCATGGGCAGGGCCCATGGAGGAAGGGTGCAGGTGTCTGGAGCCACCCAGAGGGCTTGGCAGGGAGGCTCTCAGGGTTGGGCACCCCTCCTCTTGCCCTCCAAGCAGAACCAAGATGCCCATATGTTGGGAGGACAAGGTCATAACTAGAGAAGAGTGCCATGTGGTCACTCCCACCAGATAGCCGGTGTTGAGCCTGAGACACTGAGCTTGCAGCTCCTCAGGCTGAGGTTCCCAGCTCTCCAAGCTGCTCTCTCAAACCCTCGTTCCCTCTAAGAAGATGAAAAGGCAATGAAGAAAAGGAAAAGAAAGGAAAGCAGACACCTTTCTGTGGACCCCCGGGCTAGATGATCAGGGACCGCAGGTGGCAGCCAAGGCTGAGGCCTGCTTAGGATGAGGGTGCAGAGCTGGGCTTCTCCTCCCGTGACACGGGAATGGCTCTCTCACTGTGCCCAGCATCCAGGCCAGACGGGACCTTGGGGCCAGAGAAGGTCAGCATGCCATCCACAGACAGAGAGCAGGAGAGGGCCGACTGGTCCACATTGGAAGGCAGGCGGTAGCGGCGGTGGAACTCACGGGAAATGTAGCCGTGGTCATCCTGGGTATGGTGGGGGAAGGACATGGTCAGAAGTGAGAAGAACACTCCCAGGTCACACAGGGTGGCCAAGCTGCAGGTTTTCTCACAGGGGCCAGGTCAGAAATCCAGAGCACAAGCACCAGGCACTCTGGCATTTATGGAGTTGTGTCCTGGCTCTCCCATACCCTGGAGCTTCAGCCTCCAAGAAAACTGTGACAAAGGCCAAGCCCAGCAAGCCAGGCCTGCCCCTGGGCCTTCTGTGTTGTAGAGTTGGCTCTTTACACGCAACTCACTCCAAAGTCAGATGTATGGTTCTATACCTGGCCCAGTGCTCTTCTGTCTCACCTGTGGCCCACAGGTACTGCACAGGCCCAGACTCCCTGCAGTCTAATCTAATGGGTGAGACACCTCCTCACCCCCACAGAAAGCTCACTTCTGGATGCCCTGATTTCTCAGATTCGACTCCCTGAGCCCAACTTCCTCCTCCTCTCTAGAAATGAAAGTGGGAGGAAGAGCGTCCCCAGCCACACCACTGAACAGTTAGTGGCCCAAAGTGGGAAGGGCAGAACCTAAGGAGTTTGGGTTCCACCCCCCACACCATCTCCACCTTCTCCATCCACTGAGAGAAAAATCCCCAGCAAAACCTTGCACACAGCTCCCTCTCCCTATCTGGCCCACCAGGACCACCAGATTGTGCCTCCCGGATTGAGATTCCTGGCTGTGCCAGGAGAGACTTCCTCAAGCCAGCTCTAGTGTTCAGGGCACCATCACACAGCAGGACCTGAGGGGTCTCTAGGGAAGTGGGAACCATGCAGCAGGGTAGGTGAGTGCTGGGGAAGAAGCTGCTCCATCTGGTACTAGGGCTGACCAGTTAACTCAAGATACCAAAGTCTCTGCTCAGAAAGGCTGCTAGAAGGTAACTGCATCAGCACACATGAAGCCTGGGAGTATCTGTACCAGACAGCCCACCGTCCTCATAGGCTTGCCCTTGCTGGAGCTTCTGTAACGCCAACCCCACCGTCCTCACAGGCTCACCCTCCGAAGTGAGGTTTTTATGTGAAAACGCATACCAGCTCAGAGGTGGCACTCCCCATTTCCTGGGATTCTTTCTCCCATCTGCATACGAACCAGGCCTGACCCTGCTATGTTCTGAGATCAGATGAGGTTGGGTGTTTTCTGGGGTCCTTTCTAATCACACCCTGTCGTCCAAAAGATTCAGATGGAGGCCATGATAGCTGGACGCAGGGAGCTCAACCTGAATCCCTTGAGTAACATTCATCCTGCTGTCAGCCCTGACAGTAACCTCCACACATGCAGGTAGAGTTGGCTCCTGCCAGAGCCAACCCAAGCATTCCTTTACCCAGGTTCCAGGGCCCCAAAAAGAGCTCACCTGCCTCTCGTTGTGCTTGCCGTGGATCTCCACGAAGTCCTCCAGCACCTTCACAGTAAGGTCCTCAGGAGAGAAGTGCTTCACATCCAGGAAGATAACGAACTTGTCCCGGTCAGATCGGACCTGAAACCCAAACCTTTATGTGGCGCTCCCCAGAGGGCCACCAGCTCAGGGTGGGAGCTGGTGTGTTTCCTGCTGGGTGGTGAGACCAGAAGGAGCAGTGCTTAGTGGCTGTGGTGTCCAGCCAGCAGAGCAGACTCTTGACCACTCTTCTGTGCCGGCCTCCTCCTGCACAGGCCCAGTGGAACCGATCAGGCCAGGGATAGGACTGCGCTCCTGTGCCCATAGGCACAACCGCCACTCCCAACCTCATGGGATGGTGGTGTTGGTTCACTGTCCAGGTGAACTGGCTGGCTGGTTATGGGTTGGCTGGTTGGGTGAGTTAACTGGCTAATTGGTTCTGGATTAAGAAGAGCTGGTTATAGGTTGAATGGCTGGTTGGTGAGTTGTTAGGCTGTTACCGGTCAGCTGATTGGTTATGAGTTGGTTGGCTGATTGTTATCTTATCATGGGCTGACCAGTGATTTGGCTATGGTCAGTTGGCTGGTTATAGGTTTATTGACTTTTTATGGGTTGGGTGGCTCTTTAGGTGTTAGCTAGCTGGCTAGCTATGGGTAGGCTGGTCGGTTATGGTTGTGGGCTGGTTATGGATTGGATAGCTCTTTAGGGGTTAGTTGGCTGACTGGTTATGAGTTGGCTGGCTGGTGGAACTAAGGGCTTGGGGGAAGTTCACTGGTCCAGCTTCACCAGGAACCAGTCTCTCCATGGACACAAGGCTGCCAACAGCCCACACAGCACTGCAGGCTGCCAACGCAAAGCCTCTCGCACCCACCCTCCTCTCCCTGGCCTGGCTCAGAGCCTTTATTTAGGTATTTTGCTCTCTGGAGCTGACTGCCTCTAGAACTGTGAGCCCTGACGTCCATGAGCACAGCTCATTCAGCGGGGAGGAGGGCGGGTGTGCGACTTTTCTTTGGCCTTGTGTGGGGCAGAGGGAAGCTGGGTAGGAGTCTGTGGTCTCAGCAGCCTTGCCTGCCGCAGAAGGCCATGCTCTCCAGTCCCTCCTCTCCAGTCTCAGGACAGCACACCCACCCGCACCCAAAAGGGAAAGTGCAGAGAACAGCGGGCCCAGAAAGCTCGCAGTTGCCATTAAACTTGCCTTGCCAGGGTTGCTCTTGGGGTTTCCAGCATGTGGTTGGTGCATTACAAACCACATATGGGTCATGAGCTGATGGGAGGAAAAGACAGTGGTCGGGCTCAGGTCGGCCTCCTCCAACCCCCTTCCTAATGGTGCACAAGGCTCTGGAAGCCAGAACATACAAACTCCCGCCCAGCCTTGGCAGGTGATGAGGCTAGGAGAGGGACAGTGGCTCCAGGAGCAAGAGGAAAGCTCCATGGGCAGCAGATGGCCCCTCAGGAATCCCTAGCTGTCCTCTACTGAGGCTGAGACCCCCAAAACCAAAAAGAAGAAGCTGGCGCCATCCAGGTCTTACCTCAGAGATGCCAGAGTCCAGCACCGTGCGGAAGAGGGACTGGCGGTAGTAGGGGCTGATGGTGGAGGACAGGAAGGGCAGCAGGTCATATTCAAAGAGGCCCTCACCAAAAAACTGGTCAAACAGCCGGCTGGGATAGAAGGGTCCCAGTGCACGCTTGAACCAGGGGTGCTGGATGGTGATGTCCATGTTCTGCTTTGGCACCACAGGGACCGGAGGCTGGCGACAAATCGGGGCAGGAGCCTCTGGGCAGTGCAGTGAGGAGCCAGGGCACCAGCCGTCCCTATATATGCCTGGACAGAATGGAGGCATTAAGAGATTTCTCTGGAAATGCCTGAGCTCAGGAGGGAGGCTGCACCGTCAGCAGCCCAGCTGGGCTGTGTGCCTGCCACCGCAGCAGCCCCAGAGGCTCACACTGACCAACAGGAGCCTGCACTCATCCCAGATGTCCCCCAAGGAGTTATTCTGTCCCTCATTCCCCATGGGGGACTGTGCAATGGATGGACGGTCTTGTCTCTACAGGCCAGGAGTCCTGAGTAGTCCTGAGGGCTGCCCTCCAAGGGAAGCTCATAGCCCTGTTTCACAAATGGGGAGAGCGAGGCACAGGGATTAGACAAGAAGTCCCAGCTGTCACAGCTCCCAGGAAGAGGGCATTGTATCCCAAAGGCAAAATTATCTCTTTCACATCTCACTGATTACAAAGATTGTATATACTCACTAAAACCTCAGGGAAGACAAGATAGAAACTAGCAAACACTCATGATTCCAGCCCAAGTTCTGCTCTGTTTCACGCTCATCCTAGGGGACCTGGGTGCTTCTAACTGATAGTGTGCTTGGGCTTTCTGAAAATGGGAAGCCCATGTTCTGAGCTTTCCTCTGGTGACTCACTCTACACTCCCACCCCTGTGGACATCCTCCTCTGCAAAACCTTCACCCTCACACCCTGACCTTGCCACAGTCGCTAACTCAGCTGCGGCCAAGCCTGATTCATCCACAGCTCCAGAGGTTTTATTGGCAAGGCCTGGGGGGTGCTCTGCCCTCGACCTGGGGCCCTTGTGCAGTTACTGCCTAGCGTTGGGGAACCGCACTTCTCAGGCTTTTGGTAGTTCTCAGTCAGCGGCATTTTGGCATATTTCAGTAACGTACCTTGGGCAGCACTCACTAATGTGCACGCATGCACACGCACACAAACGCACGCACATACACGCACAGACCGTGAGAAGTTGCTTTTCCTCTTCAGCCTCCTGGTTCCCAGCCTAGCTGGTACCTGGTTCGTGTTTTTGAAATGCACACCCCAAAGCACTTGAAGGTCTTTGAGGCCCCCAAGCCTTTGGAGTGGGAAGGTTGTGAGAGGGCCTATCTGGCTGTCTGGAGGATGTATCTGACACATTCAAGATGGAATCAGGGTTGACAATGGGAATTTCAGATTCCCCATGCAGCTCTTGCATCACAATGGTACTCGGTATCAAATCCTCCCCTGCGTTTTTGAATTCTAGCTATGTGCTGGCACTGACCAGGTGACAAAGGGCCCTGAAAAATCTTTTTTTTTTTTTTTAAATATGGAACGCTTCACGAATTTGCGTGTCATCCTTGCGCAGGGGCCATGCTAATCTCTATATCGTTCCAATTTTAGTATATGTGCTGCCGATGCGAGCACCTGAAAAATCTTAAGTTGTTTACAATTGCAGAAGAGCAATTCCCCAAGGGCAACAAGTCCAAATACAGTGTGGATGATAAATGCTGCTGCGGGGTGACGGTGCCTCTTCTTTCCCAGGCCTGCCCCAATGCTGGCTGACCACTACCTGGTGGTTCTTCAGGGTGGCTCCAGGAAGCAGGTCCCAGCATACCCTACTCTATAGCACCGCCAGGATTGTGGGGTTTAGAAAGGTTAAGCTGCATTCTCAGGTCACTTGGCTGGGCAGAGGGGAGGGGGTCTAACGCTTAGGGTTTCAGGCTACCTGTTGAGAGGGGGGACCATCTGAGCAGTGCAAGGAGTGTGGGAAGTGCTGGCCACCTGGTCCTGGTACACAAGGATGGGGAGGAGGGGCTGTCAGGATGGCAGCGAGCATCCAGCTGGCTGGGATCTCCATGCAGAGGTCCAGGAGAGCCAGGCCCATGGCCACGGCTGGGGGAAAGCCATCCCAGAACTTGAGACAAAGACAGCAGTGCTCATCCTGTGTTATTTAAAATTCACCACTTTTGTCCATCGCAGGTTTTTTTGCACTCATTTTGGCTTTTATAGACATGGCCTTAAGATATGATTTACCTTGACGACCCCATGCTTAAGCATCCGCCCCTCCGCATTGATCATTTTGGGGAGCACCTTGCTCTGCCCCCTTCGGGAGCTCTGTGTGTGTTTGGTTAGCAGGCTGAGACTGCAGCAGGGAACAGAGGCCATGGTGCCAGCCTGAGGCTGGGCATGAGCCTCATGCTATGGGCCACCTGGCTCAGAACTCCTTCAGTCAGAACTCTCACCCCCAACCCCTCGGGGGATTAGGAAGCCCCCCGTGCTGTGGGCCCTGGTGGGCTCAGAGGCCTCTGCTGGCCAGGCTTACAGAGGTGGCCTTCAGGTGAGGGGACAGGAGTCTGCACTACTGAATGGCGAAGACTGGACAAGGGAAAATCAATGACTCCAGGGCCCTTGGGAGCCATTCCACACCCGAGGTCAGGGTGCTGTTGAGAGCCCCAAGGCTGAGGGAACAAATCACACAGACTGGGTGGCTTAAACAGCACAGGTGCCCTGGAGGCCAGGAGTCTGAAATGTGTCTCACTGAGCTGTGCGGCGGAGGGGTACATTCTAGAGACAGTGGGGAAGAAGCTGCTTCCTGCTCCCCCACCCCAGCCCAGGGCCCCGCCTCCATCTGCAAAGGCAGCAGTGGTCAGTGAGTCCTTCTCACCTCTCTCTGTAACTCTCCTGCCCCCTCTTAGCAGAGCCCTGTGATTACATGGCCAGTGATCATAAGGAATTTTAACTCCCTCTCCTCCTGGAAGGTGACATGTTCCAGGTCCGAGGACCTGGGACTTGGGAGTCCATCGTTTTGCCTGCCACAGATAGGAAAGGGCATGTGATGAGTTGTCCCCCAGGGGTGGCCTCCAGACCTTTTCCTCACTCTAGAGTCACCACAGCAGGAGCTGCAGGCTCCCATAACCAGGAGCCTATAAGCAGGACCTGGCTTACAGAAAGGCCAAGGGTAATGGTCAGCACCCACTCGTGTTGCTCAAATCTATGGCCTCACTCAACTTGAAGTCAGTCCATTGTCAAAGGCTGTTTCTCCTCCAGGGTCTCTGACCGCTCCCATGGCCGGGGTCTGCAGCACACACAGACCCCGAGATAAGGCACAGAGAGTTCCATTTCCTCCCTAATGCTGGCTGAGGCCCACGAACACAGCAGGTGTCTGTGGAAGAGGACGGGAGCCCTGGAAGCACTGGTTTTGGAGTGACCAGTAAATCTGAACAAGTAGTCCACAGACTGAATTCAACTCTCCCCAAAACTCACATGCTGAAGTCGTAACCCTCTGTACCCCAGAAGGTATCTGTATTTGGAAAGGGGGTCTTTAGAGGGGTAATTAAGGTAGTGAGGCCTAATCCAATCTGACTGTCCTTATATGAAGAGGAGGTTTGGTCACACTGAGAGACATGAGTAGACAGAGGAGGGACCGCGTCAGGAGTCGAGGAGAAGACACACCTGCAAGCCAAAGGGGAGAGACCTCAGGAGGATTCAGCTTTGTTGGCATTTTCGCCTTGGACTTCTAGTCTCTGGACTGTAAAACAATTAAGTTCTGTTGCTTAGCAGCCCAGTCTGTAGTCCAGTCATCCCCCTTAGCTGAGGTTTTTCTTTCTGCTATTTGAGGTGCTCACAATCAACTGTGGTCCAAAAGCATTAAACGGGAAATCCCAAAAATAAACAATTCAGAAGTTTAACACTCACGCTGTGCTGAGTAGCCTGATGGAATCACACATCCTCCTGACCCGTCCTGCTTGGGACGTGAATCATCCCTTCGTACAGTGCATCCGCCCTGTATACACTGCCTCCCCGCTAGTCACTTGGTGGTACTCAGTGCTTGTGTTCAAGTAACCCTTATTTTATTTAATAATGGCTCCAAAGCACAAGCTGGAAATTTAGATGTGCCACAGAGGAGCTGGGAGGTGCTTCCTTCAAGTGAAAAGATGAAGCCTCTCCGTCTGTAAAGAAAGTGAAAATAGTATACGAGCTTGCTAAGATCTATGGTGAGAACAGATGCAGCTGTGAACTTGTGACAAGGGAAAGGGAAACCCATGTTGTTGCTCGTGAAACTGCAAAACTTACAGTGGTGAGTGCTTGGCGAGGACAGAAGGGGACATTTGTTGCAAGGCGCAGAACCATCAGGGCTGCCGGCATCCACTGGAAGGTGTTGGAACCTTGCTCCTGCTGATCAGGAGAAATGCCTGCATGTGCCCTGTCAGCACCCCTGCAGACTAGCACGGCAGGTGAGCTCACAAGTCTGAAAACGTGGGCAACGAGGAGCTATCACGTTCACTAGACTGGGCTGCCTGTGCTTGCTTGAGGAGGGCCTCAAGGTGGGGAGCTGCTCAGCCTGGGGGGAGGGTCCAGCCCCCGAGGTTCAGTGCATTTCCGTGTGTCAGCAGGGGATTCCCAATGAACAGCACACATGAGAAAACACCTGCATTAGTGTCCCTTCTGTTGCTCTCTGGGACCTCTTGGTGTTTTTATTTCCTGTTTAAAATTCAAAACTGTGAAACTGAGCCCAACCTAAGGTGTCACACTCAACTGCCAATGCAAGTTCAGGTCTGAAATATGTCTCTGAATAGAAATGTGTTCTTTGTTTTACTTGCTAACTGGCTTACAGAACAAGTCAGGAAAATCATGATTGTCCGTGATTACCATGAGTACTGAAAATAATTTTGTCCTGTGGAAGGTGAGTGTTCAGAAAATGGCCACTCTGGTGGCAAAGGCACTGAGTGCTGTTCCTTGGCCTCCCAACAGCTTTGGCACAGCCCAGGCCTCGGTCAGCGGCCCTGGTCCCCTCTTGACTGGATCACAGCATGTCTTGCGCAGCACAGTGGGATCCAGTGCAGGTTGGAAACAAACTACAAGTTTCCTAAAACCCAAAGGAAAAAAAATACCAATCTCCTGAAGCTGAGAAAAGGGCCTGGACGGGGATGAGTCCACGTTCCAAGAACACTCATCAGGGCCTCTCACACCTGTGGGGACACTGAGGCTGCTGAAGGATTCACTGGAAACCACTGCCCATGC